TACTAACATTTATTCAAGTTAAATTAAACTTGACTACAACTCTGACTTGATGACTAATGAACAACTTGGCCACATGGCAACAACTATCTCCTTAATAAAATGATAAACTACAGATAATATCTGTCCTGAGTTTCTTACATTTATGGAACTTCATGTACATTTCTAAAGCAGTGGTGTCCAGATCCAGTTCTAAGGGCTGCTATCTGCCATGTAGAAATTGCATTTCAAGAGAGAAAAACTGCAGCAGCAGATTACAGAGCTAAGCTGAACCAAAAGAAACAAATAACAAGCAGCTTCCTAGAAATTTAGAGGAGTAGAAAATATAATATTTAACTTTGAAAAGTAGTGGAGTGAAATTCATAAGTATTCCCTAAAAAAAAGATACTCAAAAAGTACTTAAGTACAGGAATCAGGTAAATATATTTTGTTACTTTGCACCACTGATGACGACCAATTAAAAAACCTCCAATGGAGCAGGCGTAGTGGTAGAGGAACTAATGACTTATTTCAGTTTTTGATTAATATGTTTGTTTTGCATTGTGATAAATTTGAAAACATCTAGTATACCCATGAAAAAAGAAACGATTGGCTGAGCTGTGGTCACATTTGTCTGGTTTTTCCTGATTGGAAAATGTCTTTCTTTCTAATGTCAAAGGGAAGTGCAGCCGTTTGCTTCCTGCTGGTGGTGGAGGTCTGTGCTGCTTCCTGGAACGTTAACAGGATGTTAACAGTGAGACTGATTACTGCCACGCTGATGATCTGCCACTAGGTCTACATGCAGATTAAAACACATAAACTGTCAGGTTTTCATCCTGAGCTTCGTCACTTTTCCATCTATAATCATCTTCAATTCATCTTCAACACAATATATACACCAAGTAAAAATAGTATATAAAGTAAATTAATGTTTTCTGTATTCTTCAGTTTTAGCAGAAACAAAAAACATAATTACTATTTAATTTTTTTTTTTTTACTCAGAATACTCACGTTTGCCCAAATGACAAAAAGACTGCATGTTGCTTTAACGAATGTCCACTTTATGAGTAATACATGCAGATAGCAGATGAGACGCAATAAAAAGAAACTGGGGAGAAGATTGAGAGATTTGCATTTATTTTTGTTACATTTTCAACACAGTTATTCTAGAAATCAGGTTTTGAAACATTAAACACTTAGAAATAGCTTTTTCCAGCCTCAGTAACAATTTAAATGTTTTCTTTACGCTTTTAAAACTAGCAAAACATGCGTGGTTCACTTATTGCAGCTTTTCTGCATGAACAGCTCCAGTAGATGACAGAAGAAATGATTCACTGCAAAGATAAGGACACCTGGCGATCTTTAAATCTGATTCAATCAGTGAAACTGAAACCAACAATCAGCAGAAAGTCTTCCTCTTAACAGATGATGTGCAGATTTTCCCCAAAGTGTAAACCAGTCACTGTAGGACATTCTTACACATCTTTATGAGACAGTAGAAGTGTAGAAAATTACTATGACCTTAACAGAGAATAAATATTTAGTATTCATCCAGTTTAGAAGTCAGCAAACTATAAAATTCATGGTGGCCATTATTTTATTTTTTTTCCAGATCTATAAGACATACTTTATTTTAACTACTTAAAATAATTTTGTTTTTTTAATAAAGATGTCAAATGTCAAGAGTGAAGTTAACAGTCTTAAACTAAGCTCTTTTTCAGATAAACCTCTAATGCAAAGTAGTGTTTTACACATAAAAAGAATTTGCTCCACAAAAATAAAAAAACGTACATTTAACTTAAATGTATTTGGAAATATATCATTTTGAATTAAAAGCTGCAAATTATATGGAAATATGATCAGAAAAGAGAAAAAAGTGTGCAACCTTTAGCAGAGGAAGTGCTACATAGTAGATAAATAGAAAAATATATAATAAAAACAGCGGAAAGGACAAGTTTCCATAAGCAGAAAAAGTGTCTGAACAATGTTAGTTTTAGTCCGTGAGGCAGACACCCTGTCTACTTTTAAGGCTAGGCTTAAAACTTTCCTTTTTGATAAAGCTTCTAGTTAGAGTGGCTCAGGTTATCCTGAGCTATCTCTATAGTTCTGCTGCTATAGGCTTAGACTGCTGGAGGACATAGGGACCCCTTTTTCATCATTCTGCTTCATTCTATCTCTATTCTCCCACTCTGCAGAATCTGTTAGTTCAATCTCTAACGTTCTGCTCTCTCTGCTTTTTCTCATAGTAGCTTCATCTGGTCTGTTCCTGTTTGGCTGTGACTCCATCCTGGAGAGAAATATCAGCTGTGCTGCTGCCATCAACACCTTTGTTTCTAGATGTTGGAGCTTGGCCTGTTTTCCAGTGTAGTCCTGTTTCTCTGACTGTGACTAACTGGATGTGCTCTCTTCATCCTCTGACATGGGAGCTGGCTCGGAGCTCGTCTGCCTGGCTGTGTGTTTCCTGGACGGGGCCGCCTGTGGAGCTGGTTGACAGTTGCTTTTTGTATCTATGCTTCTTTTTCTATGTCTGCTTCTTTCTCCTTGAACCCCAGTGGGCCTCAGCAGATGGCCGCTCACACTGAGCCTGGTTCTGCTGGAGGTTTCTTCCTGTTCAAAGGGAGTTTTTCCTCTCCACTGTCGCTACAAGCATGCTTAGTGTGAGGGATTGCTGAAGAGTCAATGAGTCGATGCAATCAGCTGGTTTTCCTTAGATAGAAAACTTTGAATCAATCTGACTGGATGATCTGGTGAACTGGAAAGTATCTGAGATGACATGATGTGAGTTGGAGCTATAGAAATAGAATTCAGTTTATAGAATTGCTATGCTGCCCCTGCAGGTCAGCTTCTGCTATTTTTAAAGCCATTGGCAGCAAACTGTTGCATCTTTTTAGTTTAAGCTGTAATTAACCTAAAGTTCCACTTGAGGGCAGCAAACACCATCATTTACTATAACTTTTCTATGAAAATAACGAACCCAATGTTTTTCTCACTGGTGAAAAATTACTTAGGTGCTTTTAATTTGGTTCGCTTTCTGCAAATCAATATTTTCCTCTGCTGACGGGAGAAATTTATCTAGCTAACTACATTATGCTGAACTAGAAATATAATAAAAGAACAAATAATAATAATAAAAAAATACAATATCAGAACTGTACTTTTCATAAATAAGAAAAGCTGAAATGTATTCTATATCAAAAAGGAAATTTGCTGTCCTGCTTGAAGTCATAAAATGTCATAATGTTCTTCTTTAATCAGAATTAATATTGATAGTAGATTTTGTTTAAATCTAAGTTTTTCTTCTGTTCACTAATTTAACTTTGTTAGGTTTATTTATTGCCCCTCCAGCAGTAAAAGCATCACTTTATTTCTGTTCAGTCGTTCTTCTCTCCCTTCACTCTGAGGCTCCCTCCTGCTTTGAGTCGCCTTCATGCTAAATCTGGGTGGAAAACATGCTGCGTTACAAGAATAAAAGCTTCTGCTTCACATTTTCTTTGTCGAGCGCTTTTCTCTCTTTTTGCAAAGTTTTATTAGTGTTAACTTTGACGCACCACAAACTCTTGGCAGCTTTGCTGGTTTAACTTTAATGGCCTTTTTAGGAAGAAGTTTTTGATCAAGTTGATCCTTCTAAGTTTCTTTTCATTTCACAACGCTGAAAAATGAATTTTACAAACCACACTGAATTTTATTTTTTCCTCTTAATTCTTGCTTTGAAGTAGTTTTAAAGTTCTTCAAGTCTTTGATATAAAATATAAATATTTCCTCCATTTCCAAAGTATCTGTTGCTTTTCTGTTGATGGCGTTACTCTGTTCTTTAGTTTGACTGATGTTTTATATTTATCTCACAGCAGGGTCAGAATTAACACATTTTCACACAATCTTGGTGCAAAGTTCCAGGTTCTATTTTAATATTTTTAACTAAAACAGGTAATTTCTAATAAAGACAATATATCAACATCTATGCTGATGATTTTCTGACATGTTATGCCAACTTCTCAATGGCAATGAGTTCTTGAAGACTGTTTCCCCTGTTTTCTCTAACCTACATGTAGGAATTATAGAGGGCTGTTCTTTTTCTTTTAATATCATGGTTTATTTTTTCCCATCAGTCTAGGATTTATCTCCGCAGGATCTTCCTTGTTTTGCTGCAAACATGAAGCAGATTTAGTCTGGAGTGCACCTGCTGTTCCATAAATGCAGGAATAGATGTTCTCTATTTCCTTCTCTACTCCTGTTAGCTCACAGCCAGACGTAGGAAATCATAACTGCATGCGAAGAAAAATCAAACATGGAAGGTAACAAACTTAAGAAATATCATCAGCATATAAGCCATATTCTATTTTTTTATTAACCGTCTACTGAAAATCCACTGGCAGCTTATGAGATATTTGGATATTTTCTAATCTTATTTATTTTGATCAAATTTATTATGTTAGAGTTTTTGAATAATAAAGATACAGAAGTGGTGTGATGGATTTTTATATGTATATTTTAAACACACTGACATATTTTTTTTTTCCTAACTAGGATTGTTTTCTAGGTTCTTATAATAAAACGGTTAAAGTCTATAAATGTAATGACGGGTACCTGGATTTGAAGCAGAGTCGCTTCCTGTGCAAAAACGTTTGTTAGTCTTTGAGCGATTTCTGACTGCTGGTTTTCCCTGAATATGAGGGAAGCCGAAAGGAGAAACTTGACTGTTTTGTCTTTTTCTTTGAAAGCATCATCCTTGTTTTTTCTTCACTTATTCACACCCCTTACTCTTCTAAATACAGACAAAAATAAGTTCTGTCCAATTTCATAAATAAGTAATAACTATATTATCCTGCTTTTTATTGCCTTTTACACTATCAGTTTAATTTAATATTTAATTAGAAAAATATGAAAATATATATTCTTAATGCTTTTAAATAAACTAATGGAACCCAACAATGTATTTAAATTTTTTTAAGTCCTTTTTTTAAATGGTCTTAAAGTAAAATAAAATATTTCTGTCATCTGAACAAAAGCATGAAGGCAGACAGTTCCGAGATGAAAATTAGTTTATTATTATTACTCTTTTAAATTAACAAACACTGCTATACATATTGCTGTTTTTATTCATTTTGAATCATTTTAAACAATTAAAGCATTTAAAAAAAAAGAAGAAATCATAGTTCAACAGGCGACAGACAGCAGATGACATGTACAGCAGAACATCTACAGTCAATGGCTTTTAATTGAAGTGTTGAGGGGGCTCTAGAACGTTCCAACATACAGACATTTAGACGGTTCTGGTTCTCAGATCAACTCTGTGCCGTCGAACCAAATCACCCCCCCCATTGCTAGAAAACAGCCTGTCAAATAGAAATGACATTAAAAAACAGCTGACTTGTTTCCCCAAAAACGGAGAAGCAGCTTGAATCGGCCGTAGAACGAATCTGCATCCAGAATCATCTCCAATTCCTCTGATTAGAAAAAAAAAGGAGGTTTACGCTCAAAGTCTTTGACGTTAAATTCATTTGGAATGTTTCAAGTAAACAAAATAAATTGTAAATATCGCTGATCTGTCAGTGCAAGATAGCAGAACCCTTGTCCCTTTAACATATACAAATAATAAACAAGAGATTCCTTTTTAAAGTGTTGGCTCTTTCACGTCAGACCAGCTGTAGAGAGAGTCTTCTTCATCCGTTTCCTCATCTGAAGTACCTCTGGCACTCAAAAACCAGCCCGTCTGAGTGGAGTTTAAAAATCACTGTTTTACTAAAAGTGACTGATCTACAAACACCATTTAGCCTATACAAATATATATATATAAACAGGGTTGACATCATGATGCAGCTGGCGACAGTCTGGACCACCGTGGCTTTTGTTCAAGTTAACCAAAAATTCCTCCTTTTTTACTTTAGACAAGGACTGATGAAACGCAGGATTACACGTGCCCAGAAAAAGCGGATTTGGCTTTTTTTGAAACCCGAGCTGCCCCTGAGAAGGCAGCGGCGGAACAAAAGGATGTTTATTTAGAGAAAGAAGCGGAGGAGGGTTTTCTTCAAACTTTGTTTTATATCAAAAAACGACTCACAACGAGGAGATGAAACCTTTTTTTTTTTCCCAAAAAGTACCACCTTTGCCACAGCCACTCTTTACGACGGGGGGTTCTACTAAAACACGCGAGATAATCCCTGACATCAATGTAAATCACATACACTTTGTCAAAAAAAAAGTGTTCAGGTACAAAAATCACTGAGGAGGATAAAAAGCACACGATACTACTGCAAATTCATGCCGCTATGGCAAAAAAAGAGAGAAAGTATTGAGGATGTAGCTGGCTCAAACGTTCTGAGGTCAACCTCAGGTCACCTTCAGATTTAAAGGACAGGATATTTCCACCAGCACAGGTCATAAATACACTGAAAGAGATGAAGTCAACAGAAGAAAGCGTGACCTCTGTCCTGAATCAGAGTCAGAAAATAAAACGAGAGTCTTTGCCTCTCTGCAGAAATCCCAGCAGATGCTGACCTCGTTTGGCGATCTGTTATTGAGTGCAAGCGTCAACCGCATGGCTTTTTAGGTGTTCTCAGAAAAATAATATATTAGTAAACCGTTCTGTGGGTGATGTCACAACATGGCCATGTTTTCCTTTTTTTTTCTATTTTCATAAATGTCAGTAAACACATCAGCAGTCAGGAGTTGAAATGGCGAAGGGTGGTAGATGAGCGCAGACACTGATGGATAGAAAAATGTTCACGCTGAAGAAGAAACGCGGCGTAGCCCTTATGGGTCCCCCCCCTCCCTCCGGCTCACGCGTTCAGCTTGGTCGGGACTTTTTCCATGTGCTTTAGAGAGACCAGAGGGTCTCTGGGTGGAGGGCCGGTCTGTCCTCATTGTTTTCAACCACAGTGTTTGTTTCCCGGTTGGGCCTTGGCGCCCCGGCCCCGGCTGACTCAGAGCGCCAGGAGCGTGGGTGAGTTGAGGGAGTCGGAGGACTGGTCACCGCTGCTGCTGCTGCGCCGGTGGGCTTTGGAGCAGGACTCAGAGGAGGGTGAGGGGCTCTCTGGCTCCATCATGTTGGAAAAGGTGAATATGAGGTTCTGGGCGTTTGGCGTGGCTGCCGGGGTGGACGCCACCACCACCGGCGTGTTCAGGCTGTCTCCATCTGGGATGTACATCCCACCACTGACGCCGCCGCCTCCCAGGCAGATGGGCTTAATGACAGAGCGCTGAGGTTTGCCCACCTGCTCTTCCATGTCCTCGGGCTCCTGCTTCACCACCACCTGGTTCATCTGAGCGCGCGTGTTCATGCTGTGGCGCATGGTGAGCTGCAGCGGGTTGCACTGATGCTGCTGCTGCTGCTGGTGACTGGACTGCTGGTGGCGCTCCTCCATGGGCAGTTTGCACACGGGATTATGGGCGACCAGCATGAACTCCAGCTTGTCTTTCTCCTTCTGCAGGCTCTCGATCTCCTTCTGCAGGTCGGCCTTCTCCTCCTCCAGCTTCTCGGTCTCCTGTTCAGAAATAAACACGACAGGTCAGAGGTCAGAGGTCAGAAGAAGTGACACACAAAGAAAAATACACACATTAGAAAGTCCTCCAACGTAGATTTCGGAATATTACTAAACACAAAAATAAGGGGGGGAAAAAATTTAATCTTTATGCTTTTACATAGATATTAAAAATCAATTTAAAAAATTTTCAACTTTTTTGTTTATACACTTAAATTAATATAATTATTTGAAATATTTTACGTATTAGATGTCTATTCTATGCTTGATCTTTTTGATGTACAAAATATGTTTACTAAACATTTCATTTATTGTTCAGATTCGAAAATAAATTTTAGGCAGACAGCAACAAGAAAATATACCATTAAATCTAAATAATTATTTCTTATTTATATTTGTGTTATACCTTATTTTTTATATACATATAAACCTTTTTCTCTTCAGTGTGTGTATATATCAAAATGACTATGCTATATACGGTTTTGTTTATGGATAAATATAATTGTTCCTTTTATTTCTAAATAAACATACATTTTAATTGTGTAAAAATCTCTCCTATTATTGTATAAAATGTTTCGCTCCATTCAGTTATTTTTTTAGTCTCATAATATCAACACGTATTTTTATGACTAGAAATCGTCAAGCTTGTTTTTTTTTTACTATTTAACGTTTTTTTATATTTTTATTGGCTGTACGTTTTTGCATTTCTTAGCGATTTAATACTTTTGATTATCAATTAAATCTTTTTTGTTTTCATTTAGTTTTTCTTTATTCTGGCAGTTTAAAATGATTTTTTTGCCTAAGTTCGGCAGCCGACTTATAGAAATGGCAAACAGTGAAGAGAGTTACTTTGTCTAAAGCGTTAAAAACTAAACCATCCTAAATCTGCTCAAAGTAGAAAACTTTGCTCCCATTGCTGTTTCTGGCTCCTAAGGCACCAGCAGAGGGCAGTGTTCGCCTGCTTCAGATTCATGCTGTGTTTGTGTGGCATGACCTTTGGACTGAAACCATGTAACTCAGAAGCCTGAATCAAAGAGTCTCCTAATGACTCTAATGTTTGTGTCTCTAAGAGATGCTGCCTCCTTCAGCAGTTTGACTCCAATGTGTCAAATCAAACGAATCAAACGAAGGGAAACTGCAGTTGGACGTCAGGTAGGCAGACATGAAGGTCGTCACAGACCTTTGACTCATGGGAAAAGCAATCAGGAAGTAATAAATTAGACATGACGTTTTTTCTTAAAGGAGAAATAGTGCTGCTCAACTTCACTAGAAACCTATTTTTGGATGATTAAAAAGAAAATGATCAGGCAGATAAAATGTGCCGCTTTACTCACAAAGCCACCTGCCTACAGCCAGTTCCACTCCAGGTTTTAAGCTCAGCCTGTCTCTAATTCCACTAATTAGTCCATTTAGACACCGTTACTGTCTGCCTACGAGACAGCCCAGCCTCTGTCTGCAGCCGCCCGACACAAAAAGCTTTTCAACGCCTTCAGTCAGAGCCTGCACTTAGAGTCAAACTTGTCTGGCGAGCTTGCTAAAGCAGGAGTGGAGTTGGTGCTTTCATCAGAGCGTCCGATGGGCTGGATGTGATGCTCACCCCCTGCAGCATCTCTGTCAGCTCCCGCCTGCGGTTTCTACATTTGGCTGCAGCCAGCTTGTTCCTCTCCCGTCTCACCCTCCTTTTCTCCTCTTCCTCTGGAGTCAGCTGCGTTCAAAGATGAAAGAGAAAATAAGGGTGAAAAAGCTGTCCGATCTGTAGGCAGGATTAATGTGTAATAAAACCTTCAAACTGCTCACCTGCTCGTCTCTCTTACGTCGCCTGAGGTCGCCGGTGGAGCGGATGACCCCGGGCCGGGCCAGCGTGTTGTGTGCCAGCAGGCCCGGCCCGTTGCTCAGGTGATGGCCGTAGGGGTGGGAGCGGGAGTATGGGTTGGACATGGAGGTGATGACGGTCGGCTGCACCATCCACTGCAGGTCTTGGCTGGTTGTGATTGCATTGATTGTAGGGATGAAGGCACTGTTGGAGCCAGGCATGTCAACCCTGTACTTCTGGAAAAAGAGAGGAAAACAGGGCGATGAAAGAGGAAAAAGGTCACCTTCTATCTTCACTTCCAAAGGATAAAGCTAAATCCTCTGAGCGTCGCCATCTTAAACATTTGCTGGAATATAAGCAACGCCACAAACACCTCCAACCACCAATAAATGAGCACATTTCCCCGAGTTCAAAAGCTTATAGTAATGATTCAATCCGTGTGGACTGTAGCCCCCAGAGTGGAACACTGACACATGCAGTGAATCATGTGGGAAAGCCCAAAGGTGTCCAGCATCTCATTGTTCTACAACAAGCAACGCCGCTCAGGCTTCTGATTGGATAAAACAGCTTTTTAATCATTTATTTGTGGAAACCTTGAACCAAAAAGAAGAACCAGTCTTATTTTTTCAGATAAGACATATTAGTGCCCCCCCCCAGAGGCCCAGCATAGCTCAGCCTCTACCAAATATCTCTGGTTTGTCTTTCTTTGATTGTTTTTTTTTTATCCCTGTTTTAAATAAATCCCACTGAAGATGCCTTCAGGTCTCCACATCACTAACTTTTCAAAGCAGATCACTGTTCCTCCACAGATGGGGGGCCTGTCAGCTGCGCGTAATTTACGCACGTCCCCCACAATATTCCCGACTTTCCGTCGGATATCCCGGCAGTCTACTGGAACTTTGTTTATCCCAGTGAGTCACTGTGTATGGGATTTGTCCAGCACGTGTGAAACCAGCTCAGTTCCAGTAAAATGGGGGGAAGCAGCCAGCTGGAACAAGCCGGGAATCGCGCATTGAGGAATGTGAGAGCGAGAAATAAAGGGAAAAAACTGCTAGGTAATAAAACAAGCCTGGATGGATCCTCTCTGTGCTGCAGCGACACAGACATTCCTTGGAGTTGTTACATTGAATACTTGCAGAGTGATAAAATCCTCTATTGCTCCAATAAAGCCAGAAACGGGAGGGCCGTGTAATGGAAAACAGGCAGTGAGTGATTACAGGCTGATAGAAACAGGCCAAAAGTCGTTTACTGTAATGTTGCGTTAGACTGACGCCACTTTTCCACAGAAGTGGAACCGACGTAACACCGGGGTGTGGGGAAATAACATGCCTCGTCCTGAATTTACATCCTTTTTCTTTTAATCAGAATGTTAAATGGACGCTGCAGAACACCTTAATATTAACATGGTGCTTTTAATGCCCGAAGCGACCCTAAATGTTGCATTTCCTCTGCAAGGAAGGATCCTGATCGTGTGAGCCGCTTCCCGCTGGAGGAAACGCGGCCATGTGCGGCCGGAGGCACCGACGGATCCAATCAGACAATCTGGACCCAAATATTAATAGTAATAATAATAAAAACGCCGCAAACCTCAAACTGCTGCAAAACAACACGCCGATGTTTCCATAGATGCGCAGGATCCACAGCAGCCTGTTGCATCCAGGACGCGCGTTACGCTCCGCTGGCTCAGAAAAATGCGTAAAATGATCTGAGCTTTAGTTTAATGCCGCCGCAGACCGATGATCAGACCGATGATCAGACCGATGATCAGACCGATGATCAGACCGATGATCAGACCGGATCTGGAATCAGAGGCTTGAATCCATGTCGGTCTGAACGGAACAGGTTTCACATCGTATCAAACGCTCTGCTGGGAACAAGAAACGGATTTTCTGCGTAAATTCCGGGTTTTTCGTCCATAACTTAATGCGGTTTCATTTGTATTTTATAGTCTCCACTATTTCAATCAATTAAATAAACATTTAATTCAAAATGATGTAAATTGGTAGAGGTTGGAGAAGGTCTCACCTGGTAGTTTGAGGTAGATATCGGACTCCCGATCGTGCTGCTGCCGCTGGTGAAGGACTCTGGCTGCGCCGGAGAGGCGCTGCTGCCGCGGGATGAGGTGTCGTAATTCCCGGAGTAGTCCTGGTACATGATCCGGGAGGGAGGAAGGTTTCAGGGGACTGTTGGAGCTCTGGAGCTTTTTTCTTTCTTTCCTCCTCTGTCACTGACACACAGCCCCCCCGCAGTAAAAAGGCACCAGCAAGAAAAGAAAGAATCCTCTGATTGTTCAGGTATCCAGGAGCGCAAAGTGCAAATATTACAGCTGATCTACAACATCTTAGAAATATTGCAGGTGTGTTGTGCTTTCAGGTAGAACAGACTATCAGATCCTCTCAGGCAGTCAGTGACTCAGTCTTGCCTTCTTTCTCTCAGCTCTCTGTCGCCACGGAACCTCCAACTTTTTTTCTTTCCCTTTTCACCCCACTTCCTACAGATGACTCACTTCAATGGCACTAAGAAGAAGCGCGACGGCTTTTCAACACCAACGAAACGGCCCACGTCACGGCGGGGCGTGGCTTGCATTCAGCAGGGGAGGGGCTCTCTGTTCTCCTGCTTCAGTCTGTGGATGAGCGCAAAGAGAGAAGAGCGCAAAGAGAGAAGAGCGCAGTTCTCCCTCTGCGCATCGCCGCTGGGACCAAAACCTGCTCAGCAGCCAGAGCGGCTTTTATTCCTGGACGTCAGTCACCTGCTGCGGACTTTACGGTTCTGTCTCTGTCTCTGTCTGTCTCTGTCTCTGTCTGTCTCTGTCTCTGTCTCTGTCTGTCTCTGTCTCCGTCTCTGTCTCTGCGGCCCATTGACGCATGTTTCCTAAAATGGGCAGTTGCGTCAGAGCGCGTGTGGGTTTCCTTGGTAAAAAAGAAAGCGTCAGACTCTGGAGGGATTCCCTCCCCTTCAGCTGCGGGGCGCCGGATCCGCAGCTCTCAGGGTCCAGATTTGGTCTGAACAGCAAAAACATTCAAATGATGAAAGATGAAGAATAATCTGGATGATCAGATACAGGCAGGGGCGTCAAAAGAAAGTTTAGGGGGAGGGCGGGGGTAAAATAATTCCTACATTAAATATAGACTCTGTCTTCAAATACTCAAATAAATCCTAAAATACATATTTTTTAAATATGTTAAATGCAATATCCTCATTTCTTTAAAATATTAGTTATAAATTGGTTTTAATGAATCCATTGTTATTTTTTTATTTCATCAGTGAATCTGACCAAGTTATGCATAAAATAATCAGAATAGTTAATATTTACAAGGTAAGTAGATTTCTATC